TGTGTGTGTGACGTGCACGTCACACACACACTCTCAGGAACGTGCACGTCACACACACAACCTGGGCCTCATGATGTATTTCTATTTTAAACTTTATTTTTCATTGATCTTTATTTATCCAGGTCGACTCACTGAGTCACGAGAACTCATTTTAAAGAGAGACCTGTTTAGGAGCAGGTGGTGGGGGTTGAGTGCCTTGCTCAGGGGACCAGGGTGGGGCCAATGAGGGTGGAGGCAGGTGTGGGTGTTTCACCTTTTCCACCTCATTTTGATGTTGACGGTACCGGGAGTTGAACCTGTGACTTTCCCATCACAGGCCCATCTTGTAACCTCTGCTCCACCACTCCTCCACATGACATCATATCATACTGGTCGTATTAAATCTCACTGGTTTCCTTCCAGATGTGTTAAACTGGTCCCCTGATGTTTGCAGGTGTGTGTGGTCAGTGGATGAAAAGCCTGGCATGAACAAGATGATGCTGGAGATGATGATTTGACGAGAGCTCCCACCTTCTACCTGTGAAGAACAAGAGCAGCTCAGTGAAGGTGCTGAGAGCTGCAGAGAGGCTGATCCATGGAGCTTCAACACAGCAACCTCCAAACATGGCCACCCTCACACACATCGTCTGTGGAGACACTGGACCACAGCACAACATCATAACACACTGACAACAACAACAACAACAACAACAACAACACATTCACTAATGATTCAGACAAATATTTATTGTTTGTTTGTTTTACAATTAAAAACAGTTTGTTGTCCACTGTTGTCATCACTCTTTGTTCAAATCCAGGTCTCTCTTGTAAATGAGTCCTTGTGGCTCAGTGGAACTAACCTGTATCAATAAAGGTTGAAAGAATATAAATATACACATAATGATTTATTCAACCTTTTATTTATACAGGTTGGCTTCATGGAGCCACAAGGACTCGTTTACAAGAGACCTGCTCCAGACACAACAGGAAACCATGGCAACGATAAACTACAGGAAAAATGATAGAGATGATACGTATATATATATATATATATATATATATATATATATATATATATATA